TGGGTGCTCTCCCTCCATCCCTGTCCTCGCTGACTCTCCTCCACTGCCCTTCTGTTCTCACCCTGTGACATGAGGGTCCATTCCACATGATTGGTTTGGATTCACATCCATACACTCCATGCTGGGCCACATCCATCCCAACAAAATGAGGTATCTTCACAACACTGGGTTTTTTTTTTAAACCATAAAGAACAAAGGATGGGTATCTGATCCATAGTGGGAACACATCATAATAATGCAGCTCAGGGACAGAAACCGGACACAAAATGGAATCAGGTTTTGTGTGATTCCCTTTATTTGAAATAACCAGGAGAAGGAAACCCATAGAAACAGAAATCAGATTGGTTTGTCTGGGGTTGACCAGGAGGACAGATGGGAGACGGACTCTTTCTTGTTGTTGTTTTTTAGTTTGTTTGTTTGTTTTGGGTGGGGAGTTTAAAACTTTCTTGAAACAAGATAGATGTTGTCATTGAGACATGGTGTATTTACTGCATTCTAGTGAATTTCATATTTCAAAAGGCTCAATTGTATGTTATGCCACTGTTGCTTCAATAAAAAGAAATGCAAGTGAAACACACATGGTTCCCTACAGCTCCCTTATACTTCGGAGGTTGCTCCACTGGTGTCTGAGGAGTTTTATGGAAGCTTGACTTCCACCAGGTCAGAGGTGCCCTAAGTGCCTTAGTGCTTAGGGACAAACCCACTCATTAAATTTCCCCCTTCACTCCTGACTTGGGCTGAGTCTAGGTTTGAAAATGAGATCCACCATCCCCGAATACTTTTGCCTGCGTTCATCTCCTATTTAACGAAGGATATACTACAGCTTCCGATTTACCTTGTAGGCTTCGGGGGCACACATGTGGCTTCGAAACAGCCCTTCCCACCACACGCCTCCCATACACATGCCTTCATCAGGTCAGAAAATGACACCAGATTTCTGGCAGGCGTGGCTCAGTGGCTGAGTATGGACCTCTAAACCAGGAAGTCATGGTTCTATTCCCGGTCAGAGCACAAGCCTGGGTTGTAGCCTCCATCCCCAGTGTGGGGCTTTCAGGAGGCGCCCAATCAATGATTCTCTGTCATCATTAATGTTTCTATCTCTCCTTGTCCCTTCCTTTCTGAAATCAATAAAAATATATATTTTTTTTAAAGAAAGAAATTAACAACAGATTGGGGCTCTTCATGTCCTAAGCACTGTTGATCTTCATAACAAACCCTCCATACTCCCCTTTCTCCCTCACACACTGAACCAATCCCCACTGTTCTGGCTCCGGGTTCTCCTTTCTGTGACCCAGTTCTCCCCACAGACAAGCTCAGGTGAAGAGCCTGGACAGCTCGTTGGTGTGACCCCATCAGCCTCCTTCTGGCTTCCTCCAGACCCTCACTGTCGGCTCAGGTGTTTCATTCTCATGGCCCCATACGTACCTGTCACTGACCATCCCCTGCACAAAGCTTGTCCACGGGTCCCCCCTGACTCCAGCCACATCCAGGATCTCCACCGGGCAGTCCATGCTGCTGGCCATCAGGCTGAGCTACACTTTCCAGCCCCAGTGAGGCCAACGCCTCATCCAACCAAATTCATCCCATTAACCTCCTCCCCTCCCCCCATGCACAACCTGGGTTAGGACCACATCGTGCCCCCTCACGAGGCCCCCCTGAGCCCATCTGAACAGAGCTCCCTTCTCTCCAAACCTCCTAGAGCGAAAAAACATACATTTATTTCCAAAATATATTCCTTACATTTTGGAAATAAATCAACAGACTTGGCAATAATCAATGTGTGAACCAAAACAGAAGTGAATTTTTTAGATTAAATGATAATGTAAATACTACACATCAAACCTATGAAATGAAAAAATGAAAAACCACGTGTGCTTGTGTGTGTTTATGTGTGTGAGTATATGTGTGAGAGTATATGTGTTTGCATAAATGTGTATGTGTGTGTGAGTGTGGGTGAGTGTATACATGTGTGGGCTGTATGAATATATATGTGAATGTTTGAGAGGTGTGTGTGTGTGTGTGTGTGTGTGTGTGTGTGTGTGTGTTTGTGAAGGTGTATGTGTATGTTTTGGGGTGTGAGTGCATGTGTATTATGTGTGTTTGAGGTTTTTTAAATATATTTTATTGATTTTTTACAGAGAGGGAAGGAGAGGGATAGAGAGTTAGAAACATGGATCAGCTGCCTCCTGCACACCACCTACTGGGGATGTGCCTGCAACCAAGGTACATGCCCTTGACTGGAATCGATCCTGGGACCCTTCAGTCCTCAGGCTGACGCTCTATCCACTGAGCCAAAACAGTCAGGGTATGTGTTTGAGTTTTTATGGGTCTACATATGTGTCAGTAGGTGTGTACATGTGAGTGTGTAGTGTTTGAGTGTATATGTGTGTTGGTGTTTTAGTGTGACTGTGTACATGTGTGTGAGTGTATATGTGTGTGAGTGTCTGAGTATGTATGTTTGTGATCACTTATCTCTGTAAGAGTTGTGTGACTAGTAATGACAGGGGATATGTGTGTATGAGTGAATATGTGTGTAAGAGTGTGTAGACAGTGTATGTGAGCCTGTGTGAGCATATATGAATGTGTGTATGTGTGAGTGTATGTATGTAAGAGTGGTTAAGTGTGTATGCTTATGTGTGTGTAAGTGTCCAGGTGTATGAGCGTGAGTGTATTTGTGTGTGAGAGTGTATGTGTGATAGTGTGTGTATCTGTGTGTGAGAATATGTGTGAGTGTGTGTAGGAATGTACATGTGTGTGTGAGTGTGTGTTCATGGACAACTATACCCATCTGTCTGAGGGAAGCAGAGGTGAAGCTGAGGTGGGAGGGGCACATCTGGATGATCATGACCAGCCTTGAGTTCTGAAGGAAGAGCCTGGATTCACCCTGAAGACAGTGAGGACCACGGAAGGGTTTAAGCATAAACAGCTTCTGAAAGGGAGTGGCAAAGGCAGATGTGGAGAGTGAACTGGAGCAGGGAGTGAGGGTGTGGAGCTCAGAGCTCAGGAAGGAGGTGGACGTGACTGCTGCCATGAGGGTGTGAAGGTGACCTACGTCCCTGCCTTGTTGACGGGACACCAAGGGGCCCTCAGGACAGAGAGCCCAGGGGTGGGGGAGGGAAGAGCCTGGGGGCTGTGCAAGATGCATCTGCTCCCACAGGGCAGCTCAGCACCTCTTCCTGGCCCTGGGACACAGGTCCTATGTCTCACACAGTTTCTGTCTCTGTGAGCAGCGGGATGTCTCCATGTCCTGGGGGTCAATCATCTGAGCCATTTCTGCCCCTTCAGAGCACCTTTGATGCCGGGTGTCACTATCTTCTTCAAACTGTGGAGACTCATCAGGATTCAGACAAAACAACATTCATGGGAGTCCTGTTCTAAGGCAGTAACACACACAGACACACATTAAATATTAATAGTGGCGCTACAACATCCTGAAAGGTTGAAGGACTCTTGAGCAGGCTACTTCCTCCCTTGACGTCTCAGCAATACCAATGCCTTACCCACAAAGATGGTGAGAATTTTTCTTGTCTGAGATATGGAGGAAATGAAACCAGCCATTTAATGCAGATGGAGATGGTGGAGGTTTGAAAAATCAAAAAGCAGAGACGCCTCCTCCAAAGGAGCAGAAGGAAGATTCCAGGTCAGACCCCTCATGTGGAGGCACCTGGATCATGACAGACCCTTGCTGGGCTGGGGGGGTGAGGTCATGGCCTTTCCATCACGTGGTGCTGGGCCAGTGAGTGAGTCTGTGGCACACAGTGAACATCTTACGTGCGTCCACCATTTACGCAATGCCAAATGGGTGACAGATCAATATGAGAAAAAGAAACCAATTACTTTTTCTTTTGAGAAAAGAAAAGGGGGGAACTATCTTATTAGCTGGTAGCAGACACATTTTCCCACGATCTGGACACAAGAACACCAACTTTGGGGGGACATGGACACAGTGGAATCCACTAAGATGAAGAACTTGTGTTCCTTGTAACCACCAGCAAGACAGTGAAGACGATAGATATTTGCGATGTCAAAATGAGACCACGGACTGGCATTCAGATCATTAGGAAACATGTACAAGTTGTTATGTGGCAGCAGAGAGCAATAGAGAAGCAAGCAAAAACTTAACAAGCAACTGATATTGACATGCAAATGTTCAGTGGCATTGTGTAAATGTGATGAGCTGCCTTAGCTGGTGTTTCTCAGTGGTTAGAGCATCAGCCTGACCACCGAAGGGTCACAGGTTTGCTTCCAGGTCAAGGGAATGTGCCTTGGTTGCAGGTTTGCTCCTCAACCCACATTGGGATGCAAGCAATTGACCCATCTCTATCACATTGATGTTTCTCTCTCGCTCTCTCCTTCCCTCTCTCCCTTCCATCCTCTCTAAAAATCATTGGATGTAATATCCTCAGGTGAGGAGTAAGAAAAAAATGTTTAAATAAAAGGTGCTGAGCTTTATAAATCATGGATGATATAAATGTGCATCAAACTACAGAGTGGTGCCAATACTTACACTGAATAATGAACATTAAAAAGGCAGGAAACACAAAGGGTCGGCAGGCATGGGAACCTACCAGGACCCCAAACCAGGGAAAGTTGAGAAAATGCTGATGCCACTAGGAAACTGCTCAGCAGAATCTTTTATAAATGAGCTTCCTCAAGAGCCATGGTCAGGTGTCCCATTGGGCTGTTCAGAGCCAGACTTTCAGGGGCTGAGTCAGGACCAGAACCTGGGTCCTGTCCTCTCTGAGTAGGAGTCAGACAAGCAGACACATGAGACCCTGAGGCTCAGACACTGCTGACCAGCCTCCTGAAACCTGGACTCCCCGGGAGCCCTCATTCTGGGAAATGCAGAGCCAGGCTCAGGGCGGGGCTGTCTCCTTGCTGTGGGGTGTGGTAACCCCGAAAGGTTGCAACAGCCTTTACCTCGTCACATCCTGTGAGACTCTGTTCTCCAGGCTCAGGCTTCCTCCAACTGCAGAGCAGGAGCCTTCAGAGCAGACGCCATGATGTCCATCCTCTCTGCCCTTCTCTGCCTCGGTCAGTTGTTGAAACAGGGACAGGGAGCAGGAGGGGCAGCTGCATCCTCTTGTTCTTGGGGAACCTCAGGCTCAGGCAGCTCGAATGGATGGGCCCTGATGGGAAGGAAATCAGCTCAGATGTCTGGGTGCAAATCTCTCACATGGACTCTTCCAGGGCTGAGTCTGGACCAGAGGATCCACGTGCAGGCAGGTGAGTCCTCCCCAGGCTCCATGTCCCTCCTCTTACTTCACTCCTGGGGCTCAGGAGGGAGCACAGAGGTGCTGGGTTGAGGTGATAGAAGAGGAGGTTCTAGCGCTACGCTAGGAAATGAAGGTGGGGAAGGTCTTGGTAATGCAGCCTCTCGTTTCCTTCCAGGGACCCTCCTCAAACCCACCCTCTGGGCTGAGCCAGCCTCTGTGATGCCCTGGGGGAGCCCCGTGACCATCTGGTGTCAGGGGACCGGGGAGGCCAAGGAGTTCTGTTTTGAAAAAGAGGGAAGCATATTGCTATGGGGCAGAGGGAAACCACTAGATCCGATGGACAAGGGCATGTTCCGCATCACAAGCCTGACAGAGCATGGTGCTGGGATATATCGCTGTTACTATCGCAGTCCTGATGGTTGGTCAGAGCGCAGTGACCCACTGGAGCTGGTGGTGATGACAGGTGAGAGGACACTCAGGGGTCCCAACCTCAGGCTCTGCCCTCAGGAAGGGTGTCTACTCTCAGGGTGTCTCCCTCTCACAGCCCAGCCCTGGGGGACATGAGGGAGGTGTGAGCCCATTTCACACGCTGCCTCCTCCTCTCCTAGGAGCCTATAGCAGACCCAGCCTCTCAGCGCTGACCAGCCCTGTCATGCCCTCAGGAGGGAACGTGACCCTCCAGTGTGGCTCAGGGCAGGGATTTGACAGGTTCATTCTGACTAAGGAAGGATATCACAGGCTCTCTTGGGTCCAGAACTCACAGAAAGAACCCAGGAGGCAGTTCCAGACCCTGTTCACTGCGGGCAACGTGACCCCCAGCCACAGGTGGACGTTCAGATGCCATGGCTGCTACAGGGACAGCCCCCAGGTGTGCTCACACCCCAGTGATGCCCTGGAGCTCCTGGTCTCAGGTGAGTCACATTATTGTCCCGTCCATTGATTTGGGCATAAAACTGGGATATTATTAGGGTCATTACTTTGAGGGGTGCCCCATGTGAATGGATGGCAGGAAGGGAGCACAAAGCCTCCTGGGCCAGGGACACAGAGCAAGATAGTGAGACCTGGAAGCCAGGACAGGAGAAGGGGTTATGGGAGGAGCAGCCCCTGTAACTCATGTCTGGTCTCCCCAGGTGAGTCTGGCAAGCCCTCCCTCCTGAGCCAGCAGGGCCCCATCGTGGCCTCTGGACAGAGCCTGACCCTCCAGTGTCGCTCTGATGTCGGCTATGACAGATTCGCTCTGCACAAGGAGGGGGGACGGGACCTCCCCCAGAGCCGTGTCCTGCAGCCCCAGGCTGGGCTCTCTCAGGCCCACTTCCCCCTGGACACTGTGAGCAGCTCCCACGGGGGCCGGTACAGATGCTACAGTGGATACAACCTCTCCTCTGAGTGGTCGGCCCCCAGTGACCCCTTGGACATCCTGGTGGCAGGTGAGGAGCCAGTGGGTTCAGTCAGGGACCAGACTCTGCACAGGCCCTGCTGGGGGTCTCAGGTGGTGAGGCCAGAATGAAAGTACAGGGCCCCAGGGAGGAAAAGAGACAGAGAGAGGCAGGGAATGGGAGGAGAGAGGGGGAGACTCAGAGTAACAGAGACAGACAGAGAGGAGGGTCCTCAGAGGTCTCGTGACTCTCAGGTCAGAACAAGGTGGGCAGGCAGCCCTCACCCTCCCTCCCTCTCTCTAGGACACCTGCCTGACAGACCCTCCCTCTCGGTGCAGCCAGGCCCCAGGGTGGCCTCAGGAGAGAACGTGACCCTGCTGTGTCAGTCACGGAGCCCGAGGGACATGTTCCTTCTGTCCAAGGAGGGGGCAGCTGGTCCCCCCTTACATCTGAGATCAAAGCACCGAGCTCAGCAGTACCAGGCGGAGTTCTCCATGAGCCCTGTGACCTCAGCCCATGGGGGCAGCTACAGGTGCTACAGTTCACACAGCATCTCTCCCTTCCTGCTGTCTCTCCCCAGTGAGCCCCTGGAGCTCCTGGTCTCAGGTGAGGGGCCCAAACCCTATTGGCTGAGCTGTCAACTCAGGGTCCTGTCCCCAGAAGTATTATGGGCTGTAAGGGAGTTTGGGGCTCTCAGGATGGACACCCTTAGGAGATCTTTTCCTTTGAGACCTCCCTCCCATCCACTGCTTTCCCCTCACCTGGATACTGAGGCAGTGGGAGGGCCTCAGGGGCCACAGTACAGATGTAAGAGGGTGTCTGTGTGAAATGGGGTCCAGGCTCAGCCCAAGCCTCTCACCCTCTTCCTGTCATCATTTCCAGGACCCTCTGGAAGCCCCAGCCCCCCACCCACAGGGCCCACCTCCACAGCTGGTGAGTCCCAGGGAGCTCTGCTCAGAGGGAGCACAGCCCAGCCCCGCCCAAGTCCTGAGAGTCTGTTAGGGGATCGAGTGACCCAGATCCTCAAGGACGGGCTTGTGTCCCAGGGGGGCTGGGAGTCTCAGGGTCTGAGGCAGGTGATGGGTGGGGTGGTCATGGCAGAGGGGAATGTGGGGGCACAGGGTGGGGAGGAGGAGCTGAACTCATGTGGGGAGAAGACAGCCCCCACCCCGCCTGCCCCATCCTGAACCCAGGAGTCTCTGAGGAAAGTCTCTCCCACCCACGGTGTGTGAGGGTCTCTGTGGGGAGGTGGTGGGTGCCTCCATGTGGGGACAGGGACTTAGCTATAAGGGATTCAGGTGCCTCTGAAGTCTCTCAGTTGGACCCGCCCTACCCTTGTCTGGGCCTCAGTGTCTCCAAGTGTGAAAGGAGAGAATCCTTGTCCAGAGCTCAGATTTCCTGTCAGTTCTGGCCCTGACCTCCTGGGAGAGGGAGCCTCACAGGGAAGCCCCCAGGATGAGATGTTATGGGGCCTGTCCCCTCGGTCTCAGTGACGGTGACACTACACCGGGAGGGACAGGCAGGATAAGGGTCGGGGCATCCAGTCCTACCTCTCAGTTCAGGCTCAGCTCATAGGAGGGAACAGGGTGGATCAGCCCTGTTTCAGCTCCAGGCTCTGCTGCTCCTGCTGTGGGGCTGGGCGGCCCCTTCTCTCCTCTGAGTGTCGGGTTCCTGTCTGCTCATCCCTGGTCCCATCCTGCTCACAGGCTGCTGGGATATGTGGTGACAAAAGCGCCTCACAGAGCTCAGGAAGGCAGAGCCCCCAGCCCAGCCTTACTTTCCTAGGGGGCTGTCAGAGACCTGTGGGTGGAGAGGGATCCAGGAGAGACTCAGAGTCTACCCACACCCTGCCCATCCCTGTCTCTGCTGTCCTGGGAGTGGGTAATGAGGAAGGACACTCAGCTCCAGATGAGACCTGGACAGGCCCCTGAGGAGGAGCCCAGAACACAAAGCTGGTGTCCACCTGAGAGGTGGCAGGAGTGGGTGGGGGAGCATGATGACAACATAGGGAACTCACAGTCCCGGTTTTCTATCCGACCATCCTAGCCTGGGGCATGTGATTAATTCCCTGGAGCCTCAGTGAAGTGGTTGGTGGGGTCAGCCATCCTTGGTGCATGCCTGCTGTTAGGTGAGAAGAGATAAGTGACAGACCCCAGCATGTGCTTCTCACACAGTAGGTGCTCATTAAATAGCATCACTGGTTCGTTCATGATGTCACTAAAGTCCTAGGTCCCAAATGGTACTGGATAAGAGTCTTGGTGGCCTTGGTCCTGTTGCTCTCCCTCCTTTTCTTCCTCCTCCGACATTGGCATCAGAGCAGAGGCAGGACCTCAGGTGAGTAGGGAAGGGGCTTACCTGGGTTACAGGAGAGGGGCTCAGAGTACCTGCCACAGAAAAATCAAATAGATGGAGAAGGTGAGCTAGGGAAAAGATTTCTCCAGAATCTCAGATCAGAAAACCTTGGAAGAATACACACATTATCAGTACAGATGGACAGAGGTAAGGTCATCTTTCATCCTTTTCAACCTCATGAATAGGAAACATTCTCACAAATGCTTTTTCTGAATCTATTGATAAGATCATGTGATTTTTATCCTTCATTTTGTTTATGTGGTGTGTCACGTTTATTGATTTGCGAATATTGAACCACATTAAATAGCATCACTGGTTCGTTCATGATGTCACTAAAGTCCTAGGTCCCAAGTGGTACTGGATAAGAGTCTTGGTGGCCTTGGTCCTGTTGCTCTCCCTCCTTTTCTTCCTCCTCCGACATTGGCATCAGAGCAGAGGCAGGACCTCAGGTGAGTAGGGAAGGGGCTTACCTGGGTTACAGGAGAGGGGCTCAGAGTACCTGCCACAGAAAAATCAAATAGATGGAGAAGGTGAGCTAGGGAAAAGATTTCTCCAGAATCTCAGATCAGAAAACCTTGGAAGAATACACACATTATCAGTACAGATGGACAGAGGTAAGGTCATCTTTCATCCTTTTCAACCTCATGAATAGGAAAAATTCTCACAAATGCTTTTTCTGAATCTATTGATAAGATCATGTGATTTTTATCCTTCATTTTGTTTATGTGGTGTGTCACGTTTATTGATTTGCGAATATTGAACCATCCTTGCATCTCCAGAAAAAGTCCTTCTTGGTCATGGTGTGTGATGTTTTTAATTTATTGCTGGATCTGGCAACATGAGGATAATTGACAGGAGGATTTCAACAGTGGAATCAAGGAGATGCTGTTCTGTCTCATTGCCTCACTCCAGCAGATCAGGCAGGATAAGGACACCCAGGGAGTCTGTATGCCCAGGTGAACTGCTCAATATCAAGACTCAGGCAGGGAATGACCACCTGTCCTTCTTCCATATCAGGGCATGAAGGACAGACAAGCAGAAGAGGACAGACAGATGGACAGTCAGGTGGGTCCCATCCCCCCATGCCCAGAGGCAACTCAAACCCCAACCACATTTCATCCCTCTCTCTCCCCCTGCTCCAGGCTGCTGCATGTGATGCCCCCGCAGGATATGACCTACACCCAGATGAACCTCTTGACCCTTAGACAACAGACTGGTGCACCCAAATCCTCCTCATCAGAGGAACCCCCAGATGAGCCTAGTGTGTATACTGCTATAGCCATCTACTAGCTCAGAAGGGATGCAGACCCCATAGTCCTCGGAGGGGGCCTGCAGGAACCCCAGAAGGCATGGGTACTTCCCCCAGGGACACTCAGCTAGTTCCCCATCCATCTTGGAGACCTATGTTGCCCCTGGGACTCTCAGGGAGACACCTCTTTCTATAGTCAAAGATAAGCCAATATCTCTACATTTGGAAATCAAAGCAACAGACTTCTCAAGAATCAACGTGTGAACAAAAACAGCGAATGTTTTAACTGGAATTGTAATGTAAATATGACACATCAAACCTAAGAAACAATAAAATTAAGAACCTTAAAAAAATCAATGGCTTAAACTATCATTTCAAGAATTTAGGGGGGGAAAACCATTCTATTGAATCTTTAGATCCATAGACAACTTGATGATAAAGATGTGGTGTGTATGCACAATGGAATATAAACCAGCCATAAATACAGTGAAATCCTGCCATTTGGGACAACATGGATGGACCTAAAGTGTATTATGCTGCATGAAATGATTGAGACAAGGAAAGATCTCACTTATCTCTGGGATTTTTCACATCCTCAAAGCAAAGGAAACAAAAACAGACTCAGCCATAGCCGGTTTGGCTCAGTGGATAGAGCATCAGCCTGCTGACTGAAGGGTCGTGGGTTTGATTCCGGCCAAGGGCACATGCCTGGGTTGCGGGCTTGATCCCCACTAGGGGAGGATGTACAGGAGGCAGCTGATCAATGATTCTCTCTCATCATTAATGTTTCTATCTCTCTCTCCCTCTCCTGTGCTCTCTGAAATCAATGAAGAAACATATTTTTAAAAAAAACAAAACAAAACAGACCCATAGAAATAAATAACAAATTGATGGTTGCCAGACGGGAGGGAAGGAAGGATGGGTGAGAAGAAGAAGGGAAGATAGTCAATAATAATGATCATATCTGTGCTGTATACCTGAAACTAATATGACATTGTATGCCAACTATGCTTTAATAAAAATGGTCAATTAAAAATGATTAAACAATAGAATTTTTTTCTAAATGAAGGCATAAGGAGGAAATGATATGGCTTTGCATAGCAAAGGAAACCATCAAAAAATGAAAAGACAACCCACCGAATGGAGAACTATTTGCCAATACATCTGATAAGGGCTTAGTGTCCAACATTTATAAGGAACTTATAAAGCTCAGCACCAAAACCCCCAAAACAATTCAATAAAAAAAATTGGGCAGAGGACCTATAAACACTTCTCCAAAGAGGGCACATCGACGGCCAGTAGACAGATGCTCAACATCCCTAATCATCAGAGAGATGCAAATTGAAACCACACACCTTTCAGAACGGCTATCATCAATAAATCCACAAATATCTATGTCCCTCTATGATCACAGCAGCCTTATTTACAAAAGCCAAGATCTGGAAACAGCCCAAGTGCCCACCAGCAGATGAAAGCTATGGTATATTTACACAATGGAATATTGTGCAGCTGTAAAATAAAGAAGGAACTCTTACCTTTTGTAACAGCATGAATGGACCTGGAGAGCATTA